CGAGTACCGACTCGATGTCGATGGCATTCGATGTCATTCTGTGTTAAGATGTGGTGTAAGCTCAATGTGGGAACTTACGTACTTTTTGTACTTTAGCCAGTTAGTTCTATGCGAGGTCAGCCTGAAGGGCTCGATTACTTTGGGGCGTTGAAGGAGAGTTATTAAAAAATGCGACCGGTCCGATGATCAGTCCGATAGCGATTTGGCGCTTACTAAATTTCTTGGGATGTTCTTGGTCCCAGCGAAGTCAGTCAAGTCCGGAAGTTTTCTGGGGTTCAGCTGGCCAATATATGGGGCTGCCGGGGGAGACATAGTCGAGTTTGTTGCTCAAATTTATGATTGCTTTATACAGATGCCTTCCCTTGGGTGTCACGAGTCTTGATCCCCAGTGCCTGTGCTTGGCGTTGTAGTCTCCTCCTGTGATCTCCGATCTCCGAGTGAATTGTAAAAGTCCAAGAATTGCTCTTCAGTTATTGTAAAACACTGTGGGCAATAGACAGCGGCTATAGCAATACTGCCGTTGCCTGTTGTAATAATTTGTAGCAAACCTTTTGGTGAAAGTGGTGATAGATGCGTTTCCTAATTAAGATTGATCTGTGCAGATGATCTGTGCAGTATACGGTATGCCCTCTTATTTGGAAGTTGAATTTACTTGTGAGATGCGTTTCTGCCAGCAGCATTAAATATTTTTGGTTCCCATCGAGGAACTGAGTTATTGTGCCGTGAAACGCCATTGGCATTCCACATGGATATTCGAAGGCAAGATCGATTATTTAGATTGTTGGGATGTGAGCAAATTTATTAAAATGTTTTGATTTTGCATAAGGTCTTGCATTGTTGTTTTTGTGAAAGACATGAATTCCATCATACCCTGTTGCAGCGTCAGCATCCTGGTTTCGATGCTGTTTGGTATTTGTCTTATTGCTTGTTATGGTGTTATTATATTTTGCTCGGAGCATTGAGCTTGTGGGATCCCCGTCTGGTTGGCAAGTCCTGTTTTTAGGGTACTGGCGTATGAAACTCCCCCATTTGTGTTGGGGGCCCAAATGAGGATCTGGTTGCTTTCGCAAAGAAAACATCAGGTGTGGCTTTGGATTGTACGTATGCATTTTCTGCATTCTGTTTCTTTAGCTCTTTATAGACCGGGCAGCCTCTGTAGTTTGCGGTATGGTTTTCTCCACAGTTAGCGCATTTCTTCGTCTTTGGGTCTTCTTTGCTTGCAGGGCACGGTTCGGAGTTGTGGAAGCCTCTACAAGCTACGCAGACTGATCGAAGACCGCAGTTGTTTCTGGTGTGTCCGTACTCTTGGCAGTTTATGCATTGCAGCGGTTCTTCAACAGTAATCCTTCTATGCAGTAGGAATTGCAGTTTGTAGATCGGGTGCACTTCATTTTTCTTCAGGGCTCTGCTTTCTGGCTCCAGTTAGACCTTAAAGAGTGGTATTTCTGTTGAAAATATTAATAATATTTTTTGCGAAAAATCCTTTTTCTTTCAGTGCCTCTATTATCTCATTTTTGGATACGTCGGGCTCTATGCCCTTTAGCACTATTTGAAAGCCCTTGCTACTCTTGAGCTGGTACCTCGTCTAGGTATTTGGTTACAGCTCTGAGTTGATCTTCAGTTTTAGCTTGAAGCTTTGTTTCGTGCATATTCCCTTTGACAAGAGGAGTAAGATAAAAGTTGACATTCCCGACCAGCGCAACAGTTTTCTTTACTAGGGCATTTGAGTTATGTTCCCTTACGTAAATTGGTGGGGCTTTGGCTTCTTTTGTACAGCATGACCAGCCTCGGATTGTATTTTCAATATCCGACAACAGGGCGAATCTGTTGCAATTTTGTTTTGGTTTATTTCCAACCATTTTATTTTGCAGGCTTAGATTCCGTTTGATATAGATGTAGCGATCCATGCCAGTCTGTATAGCCGGACCGAATTGTTGTTGTTTGGTATTGCCGTTATTGGCACGCGTACTTATTCGAAATCGCGTTGTTGGTTACGGAGACCGTTGTTGTTGTTGTTGCAGCCAGGTTGGAGAATTTAACGAGGTTGCAGTGCTCGTGGCTGGTGAGCAGTGAGTCGAAGCGGGGATGGGGTTCCATGAAGTGGGAGTTGGTGTGAGTAGGGCTGGAGAACAAGACCGTGCTCTCGCACTGTCAATCACTTTAAACCACAAAAAATGTAAATGTCTGTTTATTTACAAAAAAAAATTTTAATTGAAAGTTTACAACCAGTCCTTATTACGAATACCACACTATCCTATGTTGACCACGTAGTTAACCTTGGGTTCACTTTTAACAGCACATTAACCTGGAACGACCACATAAATAGAGCAGTAGGAAAAACGTACGGACTGTTAAGACAACAGGAAAATCCGATTATTACTTGCAAAGACCTAAATGACTCCATCTGTACTGCATGACGCCGAAGTTTTTGGAAGCTGTGATGCTGCTAGTTTTAGAAAAATGAATGTAGCATTCAACAATATTCCACGATATATATTTAACTTGAGTCCCCGGGACCATATTTCTGAACACGCCAAAAAAAATTATCCTTATAACTGTTCACAAAATTATTCATTATTATTATACTACGGAACCGTCGTACCTGTTTTCTGAGTTAAGCTTTAGCGCATCTCAGAGAACAAACAATTTAATTGCAAGTCGGACCAAGTTGTCAAGTTCTTCGTACCACTTTTTTGTTAATGCTTCTCGTCTCTGGAACCAGCTCCCACACTGTTTAGAATCTATAAATAGCGACCAAAAATACAAGCTAAGCCTAACCACACATCTTATTTCAAAATAAACCTAATTATAGTACGTAATTTTAATTTAAATAAAATTAGTTTTAGTCCAAAACAATATGTGATCTAGAACAAAAATATTGAAATACCATGCCATAACACAACGTGACTAGGACATTAAATTAAGAATTTTATTACTTGTAGTGCTAGGATGCAAAATAAAGAAATAAAAGTTTTATAAATTTCGGATAAATACCTTTCATATACCATATCACATGTCCATTAAAAACAATTGTTTAGGGTTCTAACATTAACAGTTTGTTTTTTTTATGATTTACATGTTAAACTATTAAGTTAAAAGCAAAACAGCCAGCAATTGAGGGATAGAGGTAAAGAAATCCACTTTACAAAACGGTGAGAAAAAATGTCCCTACATCACTGTGGACGGCAGTCCACACACTGACGAAGCCCACCAGGAGAGTGTGCGAAGGCGACTACTATATATAGCCGCAGAATTGAAAATCTACTGTGATGGTCCGATCATAATGAGTAATACACCAATCGAAAGGAATCGCAAAAACTAACAGGATTGCATACCAAGACTTTCAGAAAATCAATTGGCTTGGAAGAGAGAGCGGAGAAAGTAAAAACAAGAAAGGAAGTTAACTTCGGCCAGCCGAAATTTATATACCCTTGCAGGTATGCCTACTTAAAATGTTGTTTTTATATTGACAAACAAAAATCAAAACGCCTACTTTCTACAAAGTTACAATATTTTTTCTATTATTTTTTTGATTATTCCTATGGGAGACATAAGATATAGTGGTCCGATCCGGCTCATTCCGTCATATGTACTACCTGCAATAGAAAGAAGACTTTTGGGAAAGTTTCATCGCGATAGCTTTAAAACTGAGGGACTAGTTCGCATAGAAACGGACAGAATTACAGACGGACATGGCTAGATGGACTCGGCTATTGATGCTGATCAAGAATATATATACTTTATGTGGTCAGAAACGTCTCCTTCACTGCGTTGCAAACATCTGACTGAAATTATAATACCCTCTGCAAGGGTATAAAAATTAAAATTTCGCATTTTTGAGCTGTTGGGGCCGGTGGGGATAAATGTTTTCCTATTAAAAATACCCGTTCAATTAGGGGTCATATGATAAAATCTGACGGTCCAACGAATGAGAAAATTTTAGAAAGTGTATGTAATGACGAATGTAATAATTTTTCGTCACAAATGTTGATATTAGAACTTTTGTATGTTAAAGGTTCGATCGTTTCTAGTTTTTCACCTAGTTAAGAGGTGTTTTTATTTTATACAACAAAAACGGAAAAAAAATGTTTGAGTAAAACCAAAACCATTTCACAGCGAAATTGCACAACATTGTAAAAAAATCGCATTCAAATATTGCATTAGAATTAGCTAAATTCTGGTGTTGAATAAACTTTCCCGAAATCGACTTCTATATTTGTATATTTTTTCAACTTTAAAGGTGTGCAAATGTCTCGAGCGACAATATGAAAGTGCCCATATATGGAATCTTCGTTGTTATGTTCCAGTAATGTTAAAGTGAAAAATCCATTAAATGAAATTTAATTTATTTATTTTATATTTCCTGGTGCTAAAAGGACTTCCCTAAAAATGAATGCACTAGTCAAAAGACAATATTAAGTATAATGAAGATATAAAGGTCTCTAATTAAATTAACTTATCAACTTTATGGCATTTTACAGTTGAGTTATAAATGAAGTATAAGTGGTTTCTTAAGTAATCAATTTATTTTATTACACAGGACCACAAAAAAATAGCCCAAGTCTAGACGCTAAAAAACCTGAATGGACTTTACCTTTAGATAATATCCCATACTTGGAAACTTTCCATCAAGTTACAGTTTTGGGAAAAGTTCGAAATTTTCGATTTTTAGGCACTTTTTGCTGCTTAATAGCAAGAAATCCCTTCTTGGCCCAGAGCCAAAATTTTAACAGAAATAAATGTGCATTTAGGCAATATACACTTATCTTAATGGTTCATGTTTTCGAGATCGTATAATGAGAACACATTTTGATTGTAATATTAATAACTAATATTATTATTATTTTAATGGTTTATATTTTTAAAAACATGCGCTTTGCTTTATTATTGACGCTCCTGCCGCCGCTCCCACTGCCGCTCCAAACGCCGCTCTCGCCGCCGCGCTCGCCGCCCACAACGGCTTCAATACAACCAACCGTTAACTACATATGCATATGAAGGTGCCGAGCTGTTTGCAAAACGCCGCAGAAAGGCTGATAATTGGATAGTCGACGAAACCCATTCAGGGACTCAAAATCCTCCGTCCGGTATTCCAGATTACCAGCAGTATCAACAAAGGCCGGTTATATCACCTAACATTTTGCCGGCATATTCTGATGCGGGAAAACACCGCGTTCAGTTGAATATTCATCAAAACCAGTTAATTGAAAAGTATTCAAAGCCAGGAGTACAGGTGGTTCAGTCTCCTTGGGAAGCAGCTTTACAAACTGGTTCAGCAAGCTCAGCGTTTGTGGAGGATAAGGATACCAAAGGACAGAGTGTCTCACCTGCTGCCGCGTCACCAGCTCCGTATTTCCAAAGTGGTAGAAAGGACTTCACGGATGCTGTGGAACCTACGCACTACAGACCTCAGAAACATTATAATAATGTATGATTTTCCAATTACACCAGTTTACAAAATAAAATCGACCTCTTCCTCATCGAAGACAACCTCAATTTTCCGGTTAAGTACATCTCCCTGATTAAGAAGAGGGCACTTAAAATTTTATGTATGGTGTCCATTTGTTATAAAGTGGAAAACACGTTTTTGGCCTTTTTTTATTTTCTATCTTGAGTTCTGATAACCTGATTTCGGTCATATTTGACTCATTTTATAGATATCCACAGCATCGAGTTCTAGTCATTAGTTTAGAAGCTTCGGTTTACAGGCGTGTATAAATGTGTAGCTTCTAAACTAATGACTGGAACTCAATGCTTTTTATGTATTTTACCTGTAAAATTAACCTTAGATGACCCAAATCACGCCAAAAACGTTTTTTACACTTAAAAAAAAATTAAAGCATACAAGAAATTTTAAGTGGCCATCACTTAATCTTAATAATCAAAATTAAGGGTATCTTCGATAAGGAAGAGGTCGATTTTATGTTGTAAACTGGTGTTATTGGTTCCAAATAACAGTTTTTTTCTACAGGCCATTTCTTCTTCGCCTTCATCTGTCAATGTACCCTCGAATCCCCAAAGGGATCTGGCTTACACACCATGCGTTGCCCAGGGCTGGGGAGGTCGCAATGTGGAACTACCGAAGGGTTAGTATTAACATAGCTCATTTACGAGTTCATTTTAAGTTCGTGATCATTTTATAAACTTTACGAAAAGTATTTTTGAAAAATCTAAAACTACAAACGTACACACAAAAAAAAACTTGGTAAAATCAACTGTAATAATTGTCAAAAAGGCCCCAACCAGCAAAATTGTCAATTCTACTAAGTAAATAGTCATTTCACAACAACAAAATACACACAATTAGCAAAGACACAAACCCAAAGCAAAAGCAAAATACACGTAACTATTTTAATAGTTACGTAACTATCTTTATTGGTAAATTTTACCAAGCAAATTTTTTTGTGTGTAGCTAACATCTGCTAGCCGAAGATCATATACCCTTGCAGATACCTTAGGACTGTACACAAATCAAATCTTTATCAATCAATTCATTAAACAAGAGAGAGTGCTATAGTCGAGATCCTCGACTATCAAATACCCTTCACTTAGCTAAATAAGTGTGAAAGAGATGGAAGTATGCAGCGTTTATTTCACGACATTGTTCGGAACATTCATTAGAGCATTCATTAGAATCTTAGAAAGGGACAAATATATATACTTTTACCGGTATTTGTTCAAATAAGTGACCATGTTACTTAGAATTTAAAAGTTAAATTTAAACTTTATAATTCAAATGACTTTAACTGGTTAACACGTTTTTAGAAGGAGGGAGATAGGGTCTTGCAAAAAAAAAATTTCGATTTTTTTAAAATTTGTTTTCTTGTAAAAACTTTAAAAGTTATGCTAAAAATAGTACCCTAACCTCTAAGACAAGTGCATCTTTAAGTGCGTTTTTCTCAAAACCACGTTTTGAAAGTCCGTGTTCATCGGCATTTCTAAACGGCTCAACCGATCGTTTTCAAATTTGTCGCACATTTTTCTGCATAAAAAAAAAACCCGCCCCTATGTAGCGATTTTTTTTATTTTTTAATTTTAAACATTTTATTTTTAAGCCGAAAGTAAATTTTTTATGTGAAAAACGCATTTTTGACTTTGGACTATCGAAAAAAATTCTTAAAAATAAAAAATAAAAAAAGGGCTTTATAGGGAGCGAGTTTTTTTTAATTCTTAAGTGAACTGTAAAAACAAAATGGAAATCCGATCATTTTTAGCGGAGGTACAGTGAACACCGCAAAACGCCTTTTTTCTTTAAAGTGTTCCAGGTATCGCTTTGCCACCGTTATATTAGCCGATAGTTTATACTAGTGGATGTTAATTAAATGACACTTTATAATATACAAAAGGTTTTAATTAAATCCATCCAACCAGTTTTTATACAAAAAATCGCAAAGTTAGTCGGTTTTTTGGTGCTAAAGACCCTACCCCCCTTAAAATGTTATGGGCTGTACAAACCCAAATGATTTAACCAATTAAAGTTGTTTGAGGGTACTTTTTATTCGTTGGAAAGTATGTAATTGGTAGATTGGTAATTGGTAATTGGTAATTGGTAGAAGGAAGCATTTCCGACCCTATGAAGCCGAGTCGATCTAGCCACGTCCGCCTGTTTGTCTGTCTGTCTGGATGAATGCTGACATCTCGGAAACTAAAAAAGCAGAAAGTTGGGATTAACAACATCGATATATTCTTAGGCTTCCTACGCAGCGCAGTTTATTTCAGCCGAACGTAACGCCCACTCTTACGCCTACACGTACGCCCATTCTTACGCCCACTCTTACGCCCACTCTTACGCACTCTCTTACGCCCTCAATCGACTTTACCGAATTTATAATGTATAATAAATAATAAATAATCATTATATGAGATTTTTATTTTAAAATTCCATCTATTCCATCTATTTAGATGAGTGACGGGTATCTGATATTCGGGGTACTCAACTTTGGTATTCTATCTTTATATAAGTTACTTCATTTGATAATTTAAATATTTCAGAATCTTTGCAATCTAACGAAACTGAAACATCGTGGCAATCTTTTCCTCATTATTATTTATGTGAAAATAAGCTGACTACTAATTTTGCTGTAGATGTGCAAAGTCGATTAAATGAGCTCGAAAAATTTCAAAAATATTTTTTGGAGCACCAGCGTCTTGAAATAGAAATACTGCGGAACAGAGAAAGTGCCCGAGAACTGCGTTCAACCCTATTTCCGCAGGCTTACCAAAGTTGTAGTGATTTTATCACAAAAACTAATTTTGAAGTATTAAGTGATGATGACTTAAAAGCCAAATACGACCTAGATGAAAAAGTAAATGTGCGCGAACTAATACAATCTTTCGAGCAACAGACTATACCGGAATTAAACCATTGTCCAAACCGCATAGCCGCACCATCAATAGATGACAATCAAGGCAAGGTTAAACTGTTTGCAAATAGATTTCTGTTTATAAATAACACAGGCCAACAGTGTTTTTGGTGCAGCCCTATGGGCATTAAATTGTGCTAATATAGACGGATATAAGCATATCTACATACTTAGTTTTCGAGTTTAACGGGTGGTATTTGTGCAATCGCGGTTTGAAAAAAGTAGCAACATTTTATATTTTCATTTAAGATATCTTCGAGGGTCTGTGCTCAGTTGTAATAAAACCTATGCCAAAAAATTGCTTAGATGCCCTTCTACATAATTGCATTTAAGGTTCCATCATTATTTGAGTTAATAAAAGCCTATGAGCCATTGAAGTAATTTGTTCACCTCTATTTACAACCAACTTGATGCGGTGAACAGGCTTAAAAAAATACAAGGAAAAATATGTGCCCTAAAATATTTTACATGCATCTAGAGGCGTCTTTTCCCGAATTTTTGAGATAAATCCCACTATTGTACTTCAAAAAATGGAATTTATAGAATTTTTTCCGTAAGAATGGGAAAAGTAACAAGTATTTTAGAGTCACTCTTACGTAACGAGTTTGTCGTGATTTTACACAGTAGGCTTTTTAAAGATAACAGTGGCGTCGCCTTAAAATTGTGGTGGGGATTTTTTTTAAGGCATATTAACCCCTTAAAAATATAATTTGTCTATGTTCGGCGCCTACTGCTAACCAAATTGAAAGGCACATTTTTACGAATGTGTCAGATATTTATGTAAAATGGGATTTAAAAATAGTTGTTACTTTTTAAGTTCTTACGGAAAAAATTCTATAAATTCCATCCTTCGACGTACAATGGTCTTATTTGTCTTAAAAATTCTGTGAAAGACGCCTCTAGATGCCTGTAAAATATTTTAGGGCATATATTTTTCCTTGTATTTTTTTAAGCGTGTTCACCGCATCAAGTTGGTTGGGAATAGAGGTGAACAAATTACTTCAATGGCTCATAGGCTGTGATTGACTCAAATTATGATGGAACCTTAAGTGCAATAATGTAGAAGGGCATCTAAGCAATTTTTTGGCATAGGTATTATTACAACTGATCACAGACCCTCGAAGATATCTTAAATCAAAAAATTAAATGTTGCTATTTTTTTCAAACCGCGATTGCCCAAATACCACCCGTTAAACGCGAAAACTAAGTATGCAGATATGCTTATATACGTCTATATTAACATGTTTTAATGCCAATAGGCCTGCACCTTTTAATAAAGTCCATTTTGTTGACCTGTGTAATATATGTTTGAACAATGTACATTGTATATACATATATATTTGAAAAATGTGAATTTAAAATGAAAATTGTAACTCATGTTACTGATATTCCCAAATGTTTAACGTTTCCGATTAATTGGTTTTTGTGTGCATTTCTTTGGAACCAGATCACTTTGCTCAAACAAAATTTTAACTACTTGTGCGGCTTTTGTTTTCTGTTTTTTGTTCTGTACAATATCAACTGCAACCAAAAAGTGTAGTAGCTTTTGTACAACTACTAAGGAAAGGTTATCACGAATTATTATTATGGAATTACTATAGAACGGGAGAAACTGTTGTTGGATTTTTTCTACATTGCACTTGTGCGGCAGTGGTGACACAGAGCTGCCGACCGCTGATTTAAGCAAATAATAGAGTGTAGATTTTCATGTGGTGTCAGAAAATATTTATTTATGAATTAACTACGCTATTAAATTATCTTGTGAGAAATAAATCATTTTAATTTTTAAAACGAAAAAAGTTGCTTTTAAAACGAAAATAAAATATAAAGTCTATTTTTACATTTTAGGGCTAGTACTCAACCCAACAAAAAGTCGTCCAAAACAAAAACTTCATATGAAACAAAATTTTTTGACGTTGTTTTTCATATGAAGTTTTTTGTTTTGGACGACTCTTTGTTGGGTTGAGTACTAAGCCTTACTTTGAAATTAAATTACAAAAGAACCAATGATTTCCAAGGTGAAAATGAACTTGGTAATACTCTACTTTACGTCTTCACCCCCAAAATTCACGAAAAAAATATCCTCGACGGACCGCGAGTTCTTAAGAATTTACCTGAAGATTTACAGGCGCGCACTGCCATGGTTCACTTGTAATCGAATTTCAAAGTGGCGTGTTTTGCTATAAAAATACAGTTGGCTTTTCTACGACTTGCTATAAAAAACATATTGGAGTTTCATAAGTTGTCAAAATAAAAGCCCTTCTGAAAAATTTGACCAAAATGTGTAATTGTTTTTATAGGGGGCCAGACCCTACAGCCGCGAACTAAATATCCTCGGTGGACAGCGATTTCTTAAGAATTTATTTGACCATGGATCATAACTTTTTAAGGCAAATTTGAAGAAATCGCGGTCCAACGAGGATCATTTCCGTTCACCTATTTTGTGGTCTTGGCCATCACACAAGCCCATTACGAATATTTCTTACATCTCAGCCATAGACGATAACGAGGATCATTTCCGTTCACCTATTTTGTGGTCTTGGCCGTCACACAAGCCCATTACAAATATTTCTTACATCTCAGCCATAGACGATATTTATAATTTTCATTATAAACAATATTGTTTAAAATTGCTGGCCTGCGGCGCAATTTTTTTATTTCATTTTTCTTATGTGAGTGATTCTTTGTGAAACGTTTTCTTAATGGTCTCAAACCGATATCTC